CTGGAGACGGATAGAGGAGCGGTGTCTGGCTTCCTAAGACCATCGGTAATATGTGTTTTCTGATGGTCTTAGGTGACCCCTGTGAAAGGGTCGTTCGACCCCCAAAGGGGTCACGACCCACAGGTTGAGAACCGCTGTTCAAGACTCAGATGGGCCAGGAAGGGGGGAAAAAAAGGCCTGGTGATCTGCTTCTTAAACTGAGCAAAAGAAAACCCCGTTGATCACAGCAGTCGGGTCACCATGAATCAGGGGCTGGCCCAACAGCAGATGACAACCACTGCCACATCCCATAGGAGCTCTGGTGGCACAGTACGTTAAGCATTGGGCTGGTAACCACAAGGCCGGCAGTTCAAGCCCACCAGCCGCTCTGTAGGAGAAAATGAGGCTGGCTGCTCTGGTAAAGACTTGCAGCATCAGAAACCCTACATAATAACAATATGAGTCAGAATCAGCGGCATGACAGTGGATGTGTGTGTTTGCTTATTTTAACAATAAGTATTTCCTTAATAAACCCCGATGAGAATGAATGCTCAACTTGGTTCTTATGAGCATCAAACTTTGAAGATGAAAGAGACATTTTAATGTATTTAATCTGGCCTGGCCTGAACTTGTGCTTGGCTATTAGCATAAAAGTTGACAGAGTTTAAACCCACCCAGTGGTGCGTGGGAAGAAGATCTGAATATCTGCTCCCAAAAAGATCACAGCCAACAAAGCCCTGTGGTACAGCACAACGCAGCACAGCACCCAAAGCCTCGATCTAACAATCACACAAGCCAGAATCTAATCAAAGGCAAAAGGTTTGGTGGTGGTGGTTTTTAAATCTAAGGATCCCTGGTGGCACAGTGGGTTACATGTGGGGCTGCTAACCACAGGCTGATGGTTCAAACCCACCAGCCGCTCAAGAAAGAGGTGGCTGTCCGCTCCATATGATTTACAATCCCCAGGTCATTATCAGTCAGAATGAATGCAATGGCAGTGTGGGTTTTTGATCGCATCACAGGGGCTCCTGAAGGCAGGGAATGCACGTCCACTTTGTTTCTGTAGCATCTCTTGCATCTAGCATGAACCCCAGAAACACAATCCACACTCATGTAAGTCCATGAATCATCAATAACCTACCTTTACCCATCCCACCCAAATCTTGTCTTTTAGAAAACAGATATCCTTTCAACTGGTATTTTACCAGAATGATGCTTTTAAAACTTGACTACCTTCTTTGTCTGCTCTGGAAATACTGGCTTGACACCATTTCTCCTAAAATAAGTACCACGGGCCAGTGCTATTCAAGGGAGTCTGCAAGCAGCTGGGCTACTATGCCAGTGAATATTCATTCACAGGAATTGGGAGGAAAGGCTTTAAAACTGTGATAGAGCAACTTGGCAGTGTCCAGTGTTTACCAGTGTGACTATTGTAACAAAGAATCTGGGCCTGTACTTTGTATCTTTTTCCTTCCATTCCTTTTTCTTTGCTTATATCTGAAAAAAAAGGTATCAATCTGTAAACAGACTAGAATAAAATAGTGTGTCAGAGTTGCAAATTTACTTTCCTGTGGACTCAAGAGGCACCATAGAGGAAAGGCCTGGTGATCTACTTCTGAAAAACAAAACCCCAGGGAGCACAGTTCTACACGGACACGCACGGGGCGTGGGGCTGTCAGGAGTCAGAGTGAACTCAATGGCAACTGGTGCTGGTCACCATGAAAAGTCTGAGCAATTCACCACTGCTTCACCACAACGAATGCACAGGACATCCTCTCACACTAGTGAGTGAATGAATACGGGCAGTCGACTGTGATAGCCCAGATCTCTGAGACCACGAGGAAGTTTTTGCTTTTCCCTGTGATATTAATTCTGCCGTTCTCGTATCCTATGACTGACCTCAAACTTGAAAGAACCTGGGAGGTTGGGAGGGAATGATGAACTGTTTGAGAAAGGGTGACCATTCAGATCCAGACACCAATGGCCATTTTTAATTAGAGAAAATTACCTCAAACATGAAGAGCCTCACAGCTCTGTTACTGGGCCCACTGCCCTTTCCTCGGGGCGGATCACATCCTAGCTCATGGAGGTGAAACACAGAGATGTCCAAGGTGCTTGCATGCCAAAGGCAGGAATATCGTGGCTCTAATGAGCTAGACATCATAGACTTTTGTGTCTGAGGCAGCTACTGACTAATACCGTTACACACTTCATTGTAAGGAACTGCGTTCCACTTTACCTGCCCCTGCAGCTCTGCCCACTCCTCGCCTCTCACGTATATATCACACACAAGGTGATTTTGACAGCCGGGCACATGCCCAGGACACGTGTTTCTTTAAGCTAGTCTTCCTTAGAAGTCAACTGAGCTTTTCCCTATTTGCCAATCATTTCCTCTGGAATTCCGTCAATTAGCATCATCCTTGCTTCTTCAACGGGCATTTCTCATGGGCTCTTTATCCACTCACTGATGAGCAGGCCACACAACAGCCACTGTACCAACACCCACAGACAAGAGACAATCCCCTAGTGCCTCGGGGTGTCTCACCACAAAGTTGATTAGAACATCGGCCAATGGAAATGCTAAGAACTCCAATGATCCAGGGACTGTGTGCCCACCTCATGACCGCTAACAACAAAATAAGAGGGCAGTGTTGGGTACATTGGATGCAGCGTATCAGGTTGATCCCCAACTGATGACTAGAGAAGGCAAACAAGGATTTGAAACATTTATGGGAAGCCAGACTTTGATCAAATCCTGCTGATTTCAGAAAGTCACTAAGCCTTTCTTCCTCATCCATCATAGGCTGGAAGCACTATGGGTCATAGCAATAGGTAAACTTCATTGACAGGAGATTTGCCACGGTGCAGCATGAGGTGCCATTAGCTAGGAATCAAAGTAACCCTCAATGAACCATCTTGCCCTCTAGAATGTAGCCTTCAAACCACACGCATTTCCATCAAAAAAGACCACTGGGTCAAAAGACAACACATTTCAAAGAGAGATCTCAAGCGTCCATGGCTCTATATGACCCATGACATAGTACAGGTGAAAACTTCACCAGCTATCCTCTAACCAAATGGCAAAGGAGCGCAGCAGCTTCCTCAGTGAGCCAAGCAAGGATGGCCAACCCCCTCCAGTTTTCTCTTCCCTCCTGTCCGTATCGGCTAAGACAGTGCTCTCCAAAAATAACTAAGCACACGAGATTACCAATACGGAGAAGACAGAGGCATGACACCTACAAGCTACCTATGTATAGAAAGTGTGAACCCTCCCCAGAAAGACTGGAAATCTCCTTGGAAACACCCGAGCCTGAACTCCCTTTGGAATCCTAATCTGCTAATAACTATGACTGAGCAACCGCCTTTAAAACCAAACCAAGGAGGTACTTACGGTTTCCCCCCAGGGATTCCTGCCAAGTTTGGAGGGATGGTTGGTACTCGCATGTGAGGGGGAGGATCAAACCCAACCTGAAAGCAAAATAAGCATCACAGGCTCAGTTTAGGCCCAGGTAGGCATTTTGCTAACATCTAAAGAAACTTTTCATTAGAAATACCTTCTTATTAAAGATTCATTTCCATTTCCCCAAAGTAATATAAACGAGAGCAGTAATAATCTCCAGCAATTCACAAAAGAAAAATTACAATCCAAGATATAATACAGCAACTTCTAAATACCACAACAACATTGCTTTTGGGGAAGTGGGGCGAGAGTGTGATTCATTTGTGCACTGAGAGCCAAGTTCCCATGGTAAACGCTTCCTGTAAACCTAGGGTACTCTGCCTCAACCAAGCATTTACAAAAAGCAATCTGTGGAGTCAGGATGTCATTCATGGCACTATTGATATTTGGTGCTGAATAATTATTTGTGGTGGGGAGCTGGCTGACCTGCACTACGGTGCCTGACAGCATCCCTGGCCTCTGTATGGGTGAGCGAGCAGTCACATCTCTTCCCCAGGTTGGACAGCCAACAGTGTCTCCTGACATTGTCAGCTGTCCTCTGGGGAGCAAAATGACACCCCACCCACCACACACAAGTCTAAGTCAATGCTTCAGAATTCATATCTGGAGCTCCTACTCTACAGCCCCTGAGTATTGAGAAGTAGTGTGCTGCTAACCAAAGACTGGAGGTCAGAGTCTGCCCAGAGTTGCCTTAGCAGCAAAGCTTGGCATCTGATTAAAAACAAAACAAACAACTAGCCTGTCAGAACTGTCACAAAGGCAAATGTTTTTCATAGATAATGCTAGAACCAAGTCCCCCAACGATGCATTACTTTGGACTCTCTTGTCCACCACCAGACAGCCTTCCAGACCAGTGCAAGCGAAAGGAAACAACAACCAACTTGAAGGCCACCTGGGACTATCGAAGGTATTGCTATCGAAAGAGAGGGAGGGGAGGGGAATGCACTCGCTCTATTTCAAACGCCAAATACAAATAACCTTGGCTGTGGGTTGCAATCCATTCCTTGCCCCCCAGGCGGTCAACATTTTACACGTGTGGTCAATTTTACACTTCAGATCTGGGCCTGGCTCTTCTTGGTCAGAAACAAGGGCATTTACACCAAGAATGGCAAAGCAAGACGCCAAAGAAGAAACTGCCCCATGGTGGCCCAGCTCCTTCCTGGTCCTACCTGCTGTCCGGAGATCACTTCTTACGCATCGAGCCAGAATACTAGGCTTAAAAGAATAACACTGGCATGGAAAGAGAAAGCTACAGCTTCTCAAATATATTTCCACCTAAAGCTTAAAGGAAGGGTGAAGGGGGAGGGAAAAGCTGGAGAAAAAAAAAATGAAAAGGCTCCTGCAAGCTCCTTCAGTCATTTCATCACCTTCAATCAGAATCTACTTTGGTGGGAGGAAAGCAGATGTCCTCCAACCACAGAGGCAGCTTCTAAAACACTGCCTGCTTCATCCACGAAAACAGTGAAACAAGAAGCATTGGGCCCTAACTGAATGAACCGGCATGTTGATGAAGGCTGACAAGAGGAAGGCGATGGTGGGCATCGGAACACTGGGTGTCTTTGTTTATGAGGTGCGCGGCACTCCCTGCTCCTGCCTACGGAGTGCAGCGTGGAGGCCTCCACTCTCTGGCTCTCCCTGAGAGCCTGATGGTGCTCCATGAAGCATGCGGCTTTTCTAAGTGAACCAGAGATGCAGCAGCCTACCATCGGGGAGCGCCCATAGGCCACCACGGCCGCCGCCGCCGCAGCAGCACTCATCTGGGGAGACATGTTGTGTAAGCTCGCATAGGCAGCGCCTGGGCTGGTCAGCTCGCCATTCATGCCCGCGTGGGGGACCATTCCAAACGGAGCAGGGTACGGGCCGGGCACGGCCAGGGGCGTCCTCAAGCCAGCCGCTGAAAGGAAACACAGAGTGAAACACGACTCAGCAGACGCAAGCGAATTCAAATCCGCGCAGTAGGTCCATGGGCCACTTCTTGATGCTTTCCATTAGGGGGAGGCAGATGGAGGACAGAGCTTTTGAGAGGGGAAAAAAATCACCTTCGATTTACTCATAGGGGCAGTTCATTCCCAGAGCTGAATTCGTCTCAGGGAATGCAAAGCCCCCAAGGCAAACTCTACCCCACATTGTCCTCATTGGTAGCCATGGCCGAGCTGGGTTGGCACCAGGGGGAATTAAGTGGTATTATTAGACCCAATCTACCGAGGGCAAGCCAAGGCACAGACATCAAGGGTTTACCTGACTTAATCTCAAAAGAAGACTTTCTTGATAAAATCCAAGATTTCTCCTTCAGTCCGAACTTGCCATTCCCTGGTACCAATTCCAAATGAAAACCCAATCCTAGATTTATGTAAACCAAAGCAAGGGTTTTAGAAGGAATATTCTAGGGTCTGTTTTCCTTTAAACCTAGGGTAGAGTTACTTTTCTACTTTTCTCAGGCAAAAAATGAAGTAAAATGTTATGAGGTTCTTCATGGGCTGGAGTCTCAGGGAAAAACTTGCAGTTTCCAGACAGGAGACACCCCAGCTTCCCCAAGAATGTCCTGGCAGCAAACCAGCCAACAAAAGCAAGCAAGACACAAACTGGGGCAGCAAACCCACCGTGTCCGTCAATATTAGCTAACTCAGACACACAATGGCCATTGGGTAAGGAGCTTATATTCAGAATAATTATCAGAAACTTTATTGAAGACCCTAGCATTTGGATTATTTGGAAATAAAAGAAAAGCTGAAAGTCAACAGCCAGGGATATAGCACGGAGTACAGCTGCTAAAGCCCAAGGACAAACATCTGTTTCTTATCATGGCTTTTCAGAGCCAGGGAGGAGGGTGGCAATAAGTGCATTTAATATTCATGGAAAGTGATGTCTCAAGATTAGCGGAAGATGGCTAGAGCTGGGAACAGGGAGAAGCAAAACAAAGAGAAGCAGGAGGCGGCGCTCTACCGGCTTGGTTAACGAGGGGGTCCATGGCTGGAGGCTTGCCGAGGCCTGGACGGAGTCCTGGAGTGGCGCTGGTGCCCGGCGTTGGCATATCACTGCGTGGAGTTGGTGTGCTGGATTTCAGAACAGGCGTGCTGGCTTTTTCATGCTGGTATCATTAAACAAATTAAATGAGTATTATTTTTAATCCAAGCCATATTACACAATTTATCACAACAGCAGCTGGGACACTGGGCACCTCCGAGCGACTCCCTCGGCCAATTTTCATAAATCCACACAATGTTGACAGCATGAACTTGTGAGCGAGAAATGTTGACCTTTCCTCTTCCTGCCAGAATCCAAACTCGAGTGAGAAGGACAGAGAGGATCATACCCCTTCCTCTGTGGGTTTTGGTTTGAAAGTTGTTTTCCGTCAGGCTAGTGGGTGTTGGGGCTAGGCCAAGTTAGATGAATGACCAACCAGAGCCAAGTTCCCAGTCACACAGAAACAAACGTCCAGCTGCCAACAATGTCACAGAGAAGACCCCCCTTTTCTGCCTTGCATTTGAATAGCAGCTGGGTTGAAACAAATGGCGAGGGGTTAAGAGGGGCCATCGGTTTTATAAAGTTCAATCTAACATCTTAGAGGCAAAAGCCCCCAACCACCTCTTGTTTGAGAGAAGCCTAAAGAGAATGAGTTTTGGGATTTAGGATCCTGGCCAACTAGCCTACAGGACCAAGGTGACACGCACCCCTGTGGACAGACTTAGTATCAGCCAGTGGCCTTTCAGGAGTTGACACTATAATGGTTACAAGTGGTTTCTCGCAGGATTGTGGCCCCTCAAAGCGACATGTGGAAGACCTAGACCCGGACAACACCTGTGGATGTGATCTGGTTTAGAAACAGGATCTTTGCAGATATTAACCGTCAATAAGGCCTGAGGTCACACTGGGGTAGGGTGGACCCTAATCCAGTAAGACCACTGTCCTTATAAAAACAAAAGAGACACAAACACACATGGAAGATGGCCAGGTGAAGAAGCAGAGATTGAAGTGATGCACCTACAAACCCAGGCTTGCCAGGTATCACCAGAAACTAGAAGAAAACATCTAGCATCCAGACTGTGGGAAAAATAAATCCCTGGGATTTTTTTTCTTAGCAACTCAGTTTGGGTTGCTTTTTTTAGAACAACCCTAGGAGACTAATATATAGTGTGTCTCCCTTTGCTTCTCACCCTTCCACGTCCTCTAATACAGTCCAACAAGGGCAATGGTGCAGGGCAGAGCCAGGCAAGGGGCATACCAGGCTTCTCAGTTCATGGACCAGATGGGCCATGCAGCCTTGGCACATCACTTCCACAAATGGCCCGGGGGACTATGAGTTAAATGAGATGACACACTCCACATTGTTTGTTGGATACATAACTGAGCACACGGATGGGCTCTGATGCATGCCCCTCCTCCACCAATTCCAGGCTTAACCCAGTGACTCATGTCCATCACTATGCTGACTAGCTCCCTAATCACAACATGCCAGCATGGAGGGTCAACTTACAACAAACAGCAACAACAAAAATAGACAGCTGAAGATAATGAGAACTTCTCAGAACCTAAGCGGGTGAGAACATTTTCCAACTGGGGCTTTATGGCAGGATCATGTTCCCTAAGTATTACAGGTCGAATCACTGTTCCCCCAAAATATGTGTTGGCAACCCTGTGGGCAAAATGTAATAAAGTGTAATGCAAGGCAATCACTTCCCATGATGCAATCTAATGTTGTGGTAATGAGGCCCTCCTGGCAGCCTCAGCACCTCAAGTTAGAAAAAAATGCAGATTAGACACAAAGACATGTGCATACTGGGGAAGGCAGGTATCCCCACGTGAGGGCTGTCCAAGGATACTGACAAGACACCCTGATTCAGATGTTTGGCTACCAGAAGAAATAGCTGTCTGAAAAGAATATTGTCCTTTAAAACCATTCATGCATAGCATTGTTGCTACAGCAGCACTAGGAAAGGAAGGCACCAAGTAATTAAGGGAGAGACATGAAATCTATTCTCCCTCTTTAATTATGGCATCAGGAGACCTGGTAGGGCAAGTTAAGCATTCAGATAAAAACTGAAAGGACAGCAGTTCAAATTCACCCCTCACCTAGCAGGAGAAAGACCTGGTGGTCCACTCTCATAAATTTCAAAAAAACAAACCCAACTTACTGACATCAGGTTGATTTCAACTCAAGCGACATTACATGAATTTCTGAGACTGTACATTTTTAATGGAGCATCCAGCCTCATCTTTCTCCCGAAGCACGGCTGGTGGATTTGAACCAACAACCGTATGATTAGGAGCCAGATGCCTAACCCTTGGTGCCACCAGAGCTCCTTTGTGAAGGTTATAAACCCTATGGTACAGCTCTTCTGTCACATAGAGGAACTTTGCATTAAAGTCAACTTGACAGCACCTCAGAACAATAATAGCACAAAACATACTGAGAAGTGAAACCTCTATAAAGGCAAACAGCAGAAGAATGAGCTTCACGCCAACACTTAAAAACACAACCCTCAATCAGTTATTAAAAAAAAACAAAAAACTTCAGCATCCCCAAAGGAAAATTCACTAAAACTAGGAAAGGGACAGTTCTCATTACATACCAAGCTCATTTCTTTGGATTTCAAAGAAGTGGAACTTCCCGAGGAAGCTGTGGATGCTGGGCTGCTGGATGCATCTTTCTTTAGCAGGCGGTTTTTGTCGATTCCGTTTTCACGGGGCGAATGGGCTGGGCTCGCTCGTGGAGAAGAGGGGTCCTCAATAAACACAACCAAGGTTGTTCACGAGTCAGCTTACAAAGAACAGACCTTTCCTGTTACACTCTCTCCGAGCACACTAATTCTCTATGTGAAAGGTGAACACTGAAGGTGTGTGTGCCAACACAAAAGGATACCGAGGTTGGTAAAATTAACAGGATGGTATTTGCAAGCCTGTCTGTAACAGGCAGCATCGAGCAAAACTAAGTACAATGGACTAAAAGCCCCCCTAGAGCCCCCTCATATTAAGTGCTATTTCTCAATTTAGGAATCCAAAATATTGGGTGAAGGGTTTTTTAAAAGGAACTAAGAGTTCGTGTCTATCAGGCAATATTGGTCCATGCATGAGTAACCACTAAGTTTAGTGTACAAGGATCTTTGCAGAAAACTATCATCATGTCACTACTCCGTTCACTCATTTTATTCATTACTGGTTGGCTTTATAAAAATGCTATTATAGTAAAACGTATGACATAAAGTTTGCCACTTTACGTGTACATTTGAGTGGCATGAATTATTTCACCGTCATCACAATTATTCATGAAATTTGCAACCATCCCAAACAGAAACCCAATACCCATTATGCAGAAACTCCTTACTGCCCTGCCCCTGCCCACAGTAACAACTAACTCTCTTTCTGTCTCTACATATGTTCCTGTTGTAGGTATGTCATAATAGCAAACTGTAGATTTATCCTTTAGAATCTGGCTACTTTCACTAGAAAGCTTTCTAAGGGCCACCCATCATTGCTGGATTTGTCACACATCACTATACAAGTCACTATATAGATGGAGTCTGATTGAAAAAAAAAAAAAAAAAAGAATGGTTACCTCATTAGATACATCCACAACTAAGTTGTCATCACTTTTGTCACCATCACTATCCTGAGAGGGAAAAGGAAGAAGAAAAAAAGCCTCTTACTAACGGGTCTGAGGAGGCCCTGTTAAATTCCTTTTTATAGTTCTTAGTAGAAGGCTAGCTAAAAAGTGTGCCCACAGGCTTCCCTCCAGATTGCCAGCCCTGGAAACTAATACCTCCCTTACCATCTTCACATGTGACCTGGGACTATGCAAAACCCTAGCAGAAATTCTGTTGTACTAACACACCAAGTACCACATACTCACAACTGGAGACTGCGAGTTGTAAACACTTGGCACACGGTGCGGGCTCAATAAATGCTTGAAAGTTCAAAACTCTCCTGTATTCTGAGCTATGCATCTTTACGTTGGAGATCTTTTTCCATTTGATGTCAAATGAGTGGCACACTTTCCGATCATTCTCTTATGTATATTGCCTACAATCCGATCCTCAGACCATGCACGGAGACAAAGTCGAACCATGCTAGCCAAGTAAAGTTCCTAGGCACTTCCAGAGGGAAGGGAAAAAAACTACAAACAAACCCAGCTGCTGGCTTCAATAAAGATTCAAGATCATGTTAAGAGCAGACCTATTTAGCAACTGACTTGGAATATTTTTGGAGAGAGAAGGTTGGTAGGTGGGAAATATTTGGAGCACACTGGCATCTTGCAATAGGACCTTTATTGTCTATGCCTAGAGCCATGTAATTCAATAAGAGGAAACTCCAAGTTTGGAAAAACGTTTTAATGATTTGATCATTCCCTCAAAGTAGGATAAATAAGCCTTCTGTGCTTTAGTGCAAAACAGTACAATGAATATATGGGATATAAAGGAGGGGGGTGGGGCTGCAATGTGTCCAAATCCTCAAAAACCATTTACCACCAAAACCATTCTTTTACCAATGTCAGAAAAGAAGGCATGATGATGCCATGGGTTAAGCTGGGCTGCTAACCGAAAGTTCAGCCATCCGAACTCACCAGGCACTCGGTGAGAGACAGATGAAACTCTTTGCTTCCATAAAGACACATTCTCAGAAACTCAAAGGGGCAAGTCTACTCGGTCCTCTAGGGTTGCTATGAGTTGGCAATTGATTTGATGGCAGTGGGCTCTTTTAGGTGAGTGGTGTCACTGACAATTCTGAATACACAAGTAAAGTTAGAGAAATATTAGTAACAGTGCCCACATAAACCTTCTGTGGGCCCTCAGGTACTGGCTAAGCAGTGTACCTTCAACTCTAATGTCTGCAATGTTTTTGTTCTAACACCATCTAAGGCATTATGTGTAGGAGGCACTATCTTCAATAAGCTGCCACCAAGTATGTCTAAGTCACTGTTAAAGAGGCCATGTCATAATTCAAGTGGCCTGATTCAGTAACAATATTACAGCCAGTGAGGAAACTCAGATAGTTCAAAATAAAAGCCAATTAAAAGAAATAATTTCTTTTAGTAAAAGAAAAGAAGCAGTGCAGAGAAAAATGTGAATTCTCCTCATTAAGCCCACAAAAGCATAGCTGTGTCCAGCTGTTAATAATCCTAGCAGGGATGGTCCAGGGGGGAGACTAGAGGTGGGGAGTGGTAAAGTACCAAGTGGAAAGGAAAAAAAATAATTAGGGAAAAAATTATGAAATGCCTAAAGTAGGAACTAAATGGAACTGGCAGAAAGCAGCAAGCAATCACTTTATTACCATGGAACTCTGAAAGGAGACTTGGAGGCACTGCTCGTTTAAATCCTAAGACCCATTTGCAAATATAAAACTGCACAGTGCAGTACATCCTTGACATCGAAGATCGAGGGCTTTGTCTACGATTCTCCAGTAAGCAGAGTACACTGCCAATATCCACCCATCCAACCAGATGCTGAGTACGAGTGTGTTAACAGATTCTAGCCAAACCAAACCGAACTCACTGCCATCAAGTGGGTCCCAATTCACAGCTACCATGTATGCCAGGGGGAAACTCTCCCTTTAGATTTCCAAGGCTATAAATCTTCACATGAGCAGAAAGTCTCATCTTTCTACGAAAGAATATTTGGTTGGTTCAATTTGAGGTTAGCCAATAACCTAAGGGCTCCTGATTCTGTATCGCTCATTACTAAACACCATGTTCAATAGACACACTTCCTGAAGAAGAAGCCAGAATTGTATACCAACAGATTTGCAAGCTGTAGGCCTTTTGGCTTGTTAATAATTTTCATTTGCAAATGAAAGAGTCTTTAAGTGCTACAAAGAGTTAACATGCTCAGCTACTAAGCAAAACATTTAGTGGTTTAAATTCACCCAGAAGTGCCTCAGAAGAAAGGCCTTTTGAAAAGTCAGCATTGAAATCCCTACAGAGCAGTTTTACTCGGGGTCAACAGGAGTCAGAACCGGCCCACAACTGGCTGCCCCACAGCAACTTAAGTGAGCAGCAGATCAATGGAAAACAAGATGTGCTAAAAGAAACTCAAGCGAGGGTGAAGAGAACCAACAACCTCATTTCTTAGGACGTTATTAGCCTACAGGGAGGTTGACAGTGTGGAAGGCTTTGAAGACCTCTAGGAACATGTCCCTTCCTAGCACCTCAGGAATGTTAGCGCAGTGATAGGGAGCATGATTTCTGGAACTAGGTTCCCTCCAGGCTCTGCTACTAACTGCGGCCATACCCCTGTGGACATATCCCTGACAAGCTCAGTGATTCTGTTTCTTTATTTATAAAATACAGACAATGGTATGTACGAGTGCAACACAACGGAGATGAAGGTCTGACCAGAGAGTGGTTTGAAGAGTCAGATGAAAAGCACGGGGATCTTGGCACAGAGTTAATGCCCCCAATATGCTGCCTATAGTTAGCTACAGGCTTCAGACAAAGGCAAAAATGTAGTTGTAAACTATCTCATGCCTGCACATCAGCCAGGCTAAGGTAGACACTTCCTCCAATTGGTTCAATTCTGTACTTTGCTTTTATCCTGTTTTGACCATTCTTTTCTCTTGCAATGGATACTTGGAGACAATGAAACTAGAAAGTCATGTGTCAGCTGCAATGCTTATGGCCCCAAGACCAGAAGTCTGGAATGTGGCTTTCGCTACATCTCTTTCAGAGCCCTCATTCCCTCAACCAGCTTACGTGATCTCATCTGCAAGGTTTTATTACGTGCAACCAGTGCAGCCAGTATTTCTCCAATTCTTTGATGGATTTCTATCTCTCGACAGATCACGCTGGCAGATGATCTCCACAGATCAACCCCACCTTAAGCCCTTGAATATATTATCAGATTAGAGTGCCAAAAGGCATCTCCTGACAGTGAAACTTCTGATTATTTTAGCAGAAGCTGTGAGGTCTGCAGACCCAGAACAAAATGAAGATGCAGGGGCCCTTATCCAACAACTGGATTCAGAGTACAGCCTTAAGCCAAAGCTGAGACAGAGAGAGGCCTTTTAAGAGCAGGGCCCAGTGGGCCCGCACATGTCACATGACAAGAAAGTTGGCCCTGTGTTTTAGTCAAACCTCTGAATAAAAGTAAAAGGCAGCACTGAGCCTGACAAAGCATCACTGATGGCCTTAGAGGGAAATCACATCCTCCAATACAAGGATATTGCCTCTTCATTATATTACTTTTTGAGGACCAGAACCGTCACTAAGACGCAAGTTTTCCGTACTCACTTGGAGGGTGATCAAGTAAACAAACAAATATTATTCCCAGTGCTTTCTTACGTAGTGGCTGGAGTCCTTGTCGTCCACCTTTCTTTTCTTGATGTCGTTGGCAAATTCAGGCCCATTTCTGCGTTTATCTGTGCCTCTTAAACTGTCTGGTACCAAGAGGGAATTACTCTGCAAGACAAAAAAGAACTAAATTTTAATCAAAGCTTTCTTCCCCGGTCTCTTTGTCCACATGAAACCCAACCTGGATGTAATAGCCGTTTTAGAAATGTGATACCGACACCGCCTTTCATTACATTTAATTCTTCTCATCTAAAGCCTCTGATGGTAAACATTTATACAGATTTAGGCCTTTAAAAGGGGAACTTTCCAAAGCCCAGTGGAACCTTCAGGCCCTATTCGTGCAGAACCTCCTCCTGCTCTATTTACTGTTAGAAGAATGGAAGCTTGCTGTTTATATGAGGCTGTGTTTTTATTCTCCCCCACGGTGACTTCCTGGTCAGGAATATGAATGGCCTATGAGCAAAACTTGAGATTACTCTATTAGACATATTCTATAAACTGTAAGGGCCACCGTGAGCCACTCTGAAAGAGACACAAAGGGAGCTGGGGTGGGATTAACGACACAGCTTCCTAAAAGGCAAATCACATTTTCCACCACCACAATGAAGGGACTCTTTTGAATCCCTTTAATTTATTGTTGAAAATAAGATTTGGCGCGCTTCCCCAAAAGCACTGAAATTTAAGACCCAAAGCAGGAACTTTGGACAGGGATCTCCTAATAGCGAGGAGGCCTGCTCCGGCACACAAAAGCAAGAGCACGGACTAATCTTTTCCTCAAACCACACAGGATACTTTAATTCGCATATACTGAGCACAAACTGTTGACCCAAAAGAAAACAGGCATTTTAGCTATTTGGGGGTCACATGACATGATTTGACATCCTTTCAATTCCCATCTCCCCTTAGGCTACAGCATCAGAACCCCTTACAATGAGTTCTTTTAAGCGCTGGATTAGCATATGCAAGGGGGCAATTTGTTCAGTGATGTGTTACTGCTTTGAATAAAGCTGAAGGGGCTGTGCAAAAACCCGGCTGCTCACAAAAGCCCCCAGATCACCCAGGATTTCTGAAAGATGTTTGAGAACACAAAGGGGTGGGGGACGCGGGACATGCACAGTGCCAATAGACATATAGGGTGTCTTTCTCTGCCACAGTGCAAAACATGGGGGGTGGCGAGGGGCAGATCTGTGACTTAGGCCACAATGAAAGCAACTGCCCCTGGTTATGCAATTAGCTTTTAGGGTCCACTTTATAAGTCACTAGTTTCCATTCCAAACCAGTCACAAGCTAGTTGGCTCTAAAAGTCCCCTGGAAAAATGGTGGCCATCACCATGGGTCCACTCTGGGCTCAACCACCCATCTCAATGCCACTAGTTGGATTCCAACTCACAGCAACCCTGTAGGACGGGGCAGACCTGTCTCACGGGGCTTCTGGGGCTGCACATCTTTACAGAAGCAGACTGCCATAGCCTTGCTCCCTCCGCACAGCAGGTGGGTTTGGACTCAAACAGCCAACCTTTCTGGTTGGCAGGCATCCCCTTTTTAACGACTGTGCCACCCATACCCAACCAACCAATAAACCAAACCCACAGTCACCAGATGGATTCTGATTCACTGCGACTCAATAGAGCAGAGTGGAACTGCCCCTCCGGTTTGAGGTTGTAAATCTCTACAGCCCCATCCTCCCTCAGAATGGCTATTGGTGTCGAACTGCCAATCTTGCAGTTAGCACCTCAGCATGTAACTCCTTAGGCCACCAGGGATCCTTGGCTCAACTACAGGAAAGAAGCAATCAGGGCTGGAACCAGAATGGAAACTGAAGCCTCCCTTTGGCCATTTCAGAGGCTGACCTCTAAAGCAAGCGCTTTTATTCATGATCATTTGAGCAAAACAAATGCCCGGAGGCTTGCATAAAAGAAGATGGGAGGACCCATTGCGATTCAATATAAAAAGACCCCAAGAAAGGCTTTACTATCCAGTGTGGGGACTGAAAGGTGAGCATGGTGGATCATTGAACTAATTGCCCTGATAAACATCTGCTAAAAACTAACCCCTCTCCCACCCACTGCCTGACAGAAGACAGACGTAACAGAAATCTTGCAAGATGTGAACAAGCAACTCTAAGAGAAGCTAAGCGAGGGTGGGCAGCACCCTGCTCATGTATGTAAAATGTGTTCAAGTCCATTTCTTCGGTTCTCAGGAGCCCTGGTGGCACAATGGGGAAGCAACCAGCTGCTCCCTGGCTGTGGTGTAAACCCACCAATAACTCCACCAGAGACAGATTTCAAGCTTGGAAACCCTGTGAGGCAGTTCCACTCTGTCCTATGGAGTCACTATGAGTTAAAATACACATGATGGCCACAGGTTATCTCTGTTCCTAGTACCCGGGTGGCATGTGCAGGATGCTATCTACTTGCCTAAAGACTGCAGGTTCAAACCACCTGTGTTGTTTTCTCTTCTTATTTTCAATCTCTGTTACAGATATTAAGTCTTGAAGTCTTCTTGTGTCAGGGGCAGCGCTGCCCATTACTCAACATCACACTGCCCAAATGCCACGCAGAATGCAGCAGAGTTGTGTCCTACTGGCAATTCTGAAGCTCTCCTTTGTGGTCCTCAGGATGTGAACCAGCTCAGTGCTTCCAAAGAACCCAGCCATTCAAGGACAGCTTACCTTAATGCCTTACGTTTGATGAAGTGGCGTGGTATAACACATGTGAAAACAAAGCGCAATTCTGCCAGAAACACCATTTCCAAGGATGCACATCTTTATGACTGCCAAGCTATGAGGACTAGGCTTTAATATGAGGGTAACAAAAAAATATTTGCTACAAAAATTATAAACTTTATTAAACAAAAATATCAAAATGAGCAGCTATTGTTTCTTGGCACCTAGGGCTAAACTCTTCTTAAAGCAGTGTTTCCATCTCCCTAACCTTTCCAAGAATTCTACACTATTCCATTTATATCACATTGAAATGGCAGCTTGGACATCCTCAAAGGATTCAAATCTTGTCCCTGTGGATTGTTTTTGAATCATTCTTGCAAAAAAGCAGCAGCAGCAGCGGCCTGAAGGAACAAGATCAGGACGATAGGGTGGTAAGGTTTCCCAATGGAACTCTCATAGGGCAGCCCTGCTACTGTCAAAGGAGGAACAGTGTTGGGATGAAGTAAAAATGCCTCATTGCAACTTTCATGGCCATTTTCTCACAACTGCCATTTTCTATTTTCTTGAAACTTCTTCAGAATAAACCTCTGTGACTGTCCTATGGTCTCTGAGAAAATCCATCACAATTGCTCATTTGTTGTTGTTGTTGTTGATGTTAGGTGCCGTCGAATCACTTCCAACTTGTAGTGCTACCCAATGTACAAAAGAACAAAACACTGTCTGGTCCTGCACAAACCCCATAACTGTTTTTATCTTTGAGCCCATTGTTCCGGCTACTGTGTCAATCCATCTTGTCTTGGGCTTTCCTCCTTTTTTTGCTTGCATTTCTGCTTTGCCAAATGCGATATCCTTCTCCAAGGGCTGGTCTTTCTTGATAACACGTCCAAAGTACATGAAATGAAGTCTTGCCATCCTTGTCTCTAAGGCGCATTCTGGTTATACTTCTACCAAGATCAATTTGTTTGTTCTTTTGGCAGTCCATGGTACTTTCAATATTCTTCACCAACACCATAGTTCAAATGCGTCCATTTTTGTTCAATCTTCCTTATTCAATGTCCAAATTTAATATGCATATGAGGCAGTTGAAAATACCCTATCTTGGGTCAAGCACACCCATTTGGAATCCCCACAAATAACAGTCACCATAAGCAACTGGGAGAAAGACGAGGTTTTCTTCTCCCATAAGGAGTTGCCATCTCGGAAACCCAGGAAGGCAGTTCTACCTTGTCCTATAGTGGCGGTTCTCAACCTGTGGGTTGTGACCTCTTTGGGGGTTGAATGACCCTTTCTCAGGGGTCACCCTATTCAGAACAGTAGCAAATTACAGTTATGAAGTAGCAACTAAAATAATTTTATGGGTGGGGGGGTCACCACAACATGAGAAACTGTATTAAAGGATTATGGTATTAAGAAGGTTGAGAACCACTGTCCTATAGGCTCACTATAGGTCAGAATTGATTGGATGGTAGTAAGTGATCAACTTCTGAGCTAACCTCTTGGCCTTACATTTCGATGGCTTAGCAGATCACCTCACAAGTCACTATTTGACTAGACTTTGCTCTCTGGATCACCTTGGTGAATCCTTGACTCATTCTGAGACAAGAATCATTCCATAAAATTGTCTTCATTTGCCTCAATCTTGATTAAAAGGCTGATGGAAATTCTGTAAGTAAGCCAATTTTCCCACAAGCCTTGGGCATCAAGTCAGCCAGACCTGAGGCCAAGATGTCCACTTAAAATTGAACATGCCCAACCATGAGATTCCCAACAGTGCTAGAGACGAAGATAAGCATATTACTACTGAGAGGTCCTGTCTGGAGTCATCTAAGGATCACAGGCACATGTTTAATTAAGCATGTGTGGTTAAAACTAATAATGTAAGTGTATGCACTGAATTCTTGTAGCAATATTTTTTAATTTATCCTCATCTGGTAGAAGTTGCTATTAGTATAATTCTCCCAGGAAGCAGAGGAGGGGAGGGGGAATGACTACAATTTCAAGAGTTCTTAAAAATTTCTTAAGAATTCTTGCTTTCCATTCCGGTAGACCTGAGCTGAGTCCGATTCCTGTGCAATGCACCACCACCATCCCTGTTAGTAGAAGCTGGCACATTGCAATGATATTAATTATATTTCATTGGAGTTTCTAGCTAGATAAGACTTAGAACAGAGGCCTGGCAACCAACATTTGAATATAATTCAAGGAAGCCCCTATGAATAACAATTCCATTGAGTGGGGTCTCCATGAATCGAGGACTGATTCCACATTAGCTAACAAAAACAACTACCATATTCAGCTGTATGTGTCCCCAATAAACTGGTTTAAAATAAACAACAAAGCTATTCCTCTAAATTTGGTAGTGGTTGCTAATGACTATCCCCTAACCTGGGAATTACCCACTTTCAATTGGAAAACTTTAACCTGTTAGAAACAAATGTTTCAT